CATGATGTGAGTTCCCATATAATTTGGCCTCTAGCAAATGTATACCCCTGAATATTATCGTGAGGCACCATTGTACTAGTTAAGTATTAGCCCACCATTCTTGCAAAGTATAGTGATACAATCATGAACCTCATCATAATAGAATGTTGGTCCATGTTTGAGCCTATCCTTCCAACATCCAATGTATAAATAAATTCTTCCTAAGCAAGAACATTTTGTTGTCAACCCCCCATATCTGAGGCAAAGCCTTCACAAGGGTCAAGCCTATTCGGAATTCACCATGGTGGAAGGCCACGACTAGGTTTTCAAAAAGTCTATCGTTTTTCTACTTAATTTAGTTAATTGAGGGTTTTAAGGTCTCATCATAAACATGCTTAATCCAATTAAACTACTTGGCCTAGGACAACTTTTATTCTAAATCATATTAGTAGTTGTACAATGCTCCCACTATTTGTTTTGCAAATCAAATCAATTTCATAAAACTCTTTTATTTGAGATTGGGAATATGCATTACTACTAACAGAAAGTCTTTGCATTTCCTTAAGTTTAGATAAATAGTCATCTATAGGCTTATGGATGATTATGGACTTGATTTCGATCTAACATTTAGCCAAGATGTCGGATCCAAGGCCTTTGGAAGGAGGTTGATTTTATTACGTGTCTTAACTACTTAAAACATTCATGGTTGTTATTGGGCGTTGGACCCATGAATAATACAAGTAATCTTGACTTGATATTCCTTCTCTTGATTTTCCTTTTTCCCTATAACTATTTGAGAATAGAGAACTTGAGATAGAGAACTTAAAGCCCAATGGACTTTAAGGGAATTACATTTGAGATTAAGAGAGAGGAGAGGCATACAAACCCCTATTTAATTTACAAACCAATAAATCAAACCTATTCCATTCATCTAATGAATAATTGGCCAATCACATTGTGTCACGTATTTGTGTTCATAAGTCCATAATCATGAAGACCCTTGCATCCTAGGGCAGACTAAAAGGAGTGGATGTGGGTTAGGGGGTCTTCCTTATCTGTGTAGAAGGCGATGCGGAGTGACTGAATGTCATTTTCCTGTTGATAGTTGAGGATACGCTCGATGAAGGGCGTGGCTTCGTCCAAAAAGGCTAATGGCTTTGTCCAAAAGGGCTGATGGCTGCGCTGTTGCTCATCCTCAAGACCGTGAACCTTCTCAAATAAAAGTCGCATGGCATGATTGGTATGAGGAAGGGTGTGGGGTGCCAAATTCTTCGAAAGCTTCAGAATGCTAAGGCTCCTAGTCCTTAGGGTGATAAGGTTCCCAATCTTCCGAATAACCAACTTCCTCCTGGGTAGGGAGATGGGTGGGCTTCGGTAGAGGGCCAAGATGAGCGACTCGGGGTCGTCGAGATCTACAGGAATCGGGATGGGCTTTAGCTGAAGCTTCAAGATGTGGTCTCTACAGTCCTTGTAAATCTTGGTTTGGGCATGAGGCCAATCCTTTGATGGGGTAGAAAGTTCGAGACTTGGTTGCCCCAAGATAAAGGTGGCCTTTGTCCTTGTTAGGCCTAGGCTGGGTCGGGGCACTATGAAGAGATGTGGCCAGTTGGTTCGACAGGGTACGCTTGATACCTTGGGTGAGGTCATATTGGGCAAGTTGGTGGTGAGTATTCTCCTAGTGGCACTTCAAGGTTCAGCAGTCATACTCCAGCTCCACATTTTTGGTACGGAGGTGGTCATAGCTCTCTATCATCTTAGCGACATCGGCATGAAGGCGCTCCACTTCGGCCTGGAGATGCATGTCAGTCGATGGTTACCTTCGGGGAGACTCCACATGGGGGGTGTGATGCTGAGTGCCAAGGCTATCTTCGCTTAGCATCTTGGAGGGTGATGAGTTGAAGAGACGACGGGGTCGGATAGGGGAAGGAGCCAGCAGAATTGGTAGAGGGGTGAGATTCAGAAGTCGTTTCCAATAGACGGCGCCAAACTGTTGATGCCCAAAATCGGGGGTCAACTTAGGTGGAAGAAGTGTGGAGTCTTCAGCTAGACAAGAGGGTTGCAGACCCTCGGTAAGGAGTGATCTTGTAGAAGAAATAGGGAAGAGGAAATTGTCAAGCTTCGGGTACCAGTGTGATACCTGCTGAAGGCTCTCCAATGCTTAAGTCAGCAAGTGTGGGATGTGTGGTAATTTTGGCATAGTAACAATAAAGGTGAAAAGTAGTTACCCCTTTCACTTATGCACTATTCCTCTTTTATAGAGAAGTGAAAGTGAGAGTTTGCACAAAGTTTCGATGTGGGACTTTGTGCAAATTGCTGTGGTGGTGACACGTGTCCATGGTTCTAGGTTCTGTAGTTGAGGGTATCAGCAGTCGCCTTCAGTAGGCAACTACCGCTTTAGAGGGAAGCATTCTTTCGGCAGGTCAAGAAGATAATGATGTCATCAATGTTCTTTAGGAATCACCTAAGTGTCTTTCCTTTGGCGATCAGTGCATGTGCTCGTTGCCTAACGCCGAATGTGCTCAGTTGATTACGGTGTAAATAAGAGCTACACAATATAGACAACATCATGGAAGCATAATGAAGCCATAGCGAAAAATACATGAAGTCCATGTGAAGAGATCATCTCAGCGGATGCAGCATTAGTCCAAACTTGTTGGCACTATACGGAAAGCAAAATATGAAGTTTTTGTCAATATGTGAAGAAGCCTTCTCAGGCAATAAGTGTGTCATTAAGGTTTTCAGGCAAGCAAGCACAAGTGAAACAGCTCCTTATTTTTATTTTTTTTTTGTGTTATTGACCATAATGCTGAGACAAACATCTAAAAAAATATAATTGCGAAAAAATTTAAAAAAATTGAAGTAACGCTGATAAGAAAAGCCTCTCGCACGCATTTTTTGTTAAATTTTGTCTCCGCTACTAGAAGAATACATAACGGCGTCGTTGCAGTATCTTCCCTCAAAACCCAAAACCCTAACTCCATCAGAACCAAAACCCTAAAGCCAAAAACCACCAGGAGACAGACCAAATTTGAGCTCCTTCAATGGCGGAACCCCAAATCTCCAAGACGTACCCTGTGAAACCCAAGCACAAACCTAAGCCCCGAACCCCAAAACAAACCGCAGAATCCAAATACTGGTCCTCCTTCAAAACCAAGCAAATCCCAGACCTCATCTCCTCCATAACCTCCCTAACCTTCTCACCCACAACCCCACACTCATTTGCTGCGGCGCACTCGGCCTCTCTCACCCTCTACAATCCCCAAAACAAATTTTCACCCACCGCCACCATCTCCTCCTTCCGCGACGTCGTTTCCTCTGCCTCGTTCCGATGCGATGGTCTCCTCATCGCCGCCTCAGACCTCTCGGGCCTCGTCCAAGTATTCGACGTCAAAACCCGAACCCCACTTCGCAAGCTTCGTTCCCACACCCGCCCAGCCCGTTTCGTCAAATTCCCAGTTGCCGATAAGCTCCATTTGGTTTCCGGCGGCGACGACGCAATCGTTAAGTACTGGGACGTCTCCGGCGAGACCCCAATTTGCGACTTGCTGGGCCACAAGGACTATGTCAGGTGCGGCGATTGCTCACCGGTTAGTACGGACATGTTCATAACTGGGTCTTATGATCACACAGTGAAGCTTTGGGATGTAAGAGTTAAGGATTCTGGGTCAGTAATGGAAGTGAATCATGGCAAGCCGGTTGAGGACGTAATTTTCTTGCCATCCGGGGGGTTAATTGCAACAGCTGGTGGCGATTCTGTGAAGATTTGGGATTTGATGGGAGGTGGAAAAATGGTGTATTCAATGGAGAGCCATAACAAGACTGTGACTTCGATTTGTGTTGGAAAACTTGGGAAGGATGGTGGGGAAGAAGCACAGCAGTACAGGATTTTGAGTGTAGCATTGGATGGTTATATGAAGGTGTTTGATTATGCCAAAATGAAAGTTACTCATTCCATGAGGTTCCCTGCTCCCCTCATGTCATTAGCGTTTTCGCCGGATTGTTTGACCAGGGTTATTGGGACTTCGAATGGGACAATATACGCTGGGAGGAGGAAAAACAAGGAAGATTTTGAGGGTGGCTCTGATGAGGAGCTAGAGAGGCCGCTTTCCAAGTATGAGAGGAGGCAAAAGAAGCTGAAGGCGTTAAGCTCCGGGGATGCTGGGGGATTGGGACCTGTGGAGGAACCACAGGTTCGGGTTTTGAAGCCTACTAATTTTCGGTATTTCCACAGAGGGCAAGGAGAGAAGCCATCCGAGGGGGAGTATTTGGTAATGAGACCAAGGAAAGTGAAATTAGGTGAGCATGACAAACTGTTGAAGAAATTTAGGCACAAGGAAGCTCTAGTGTCTGTGTTGGGTAGTAAGAATCCGGAGAATGCTGTGGCTGTGATGGAGGAATTGGTAGCAAGGAAGAAATTGCTGAAATGTGTTTCGAATTTGGATTCAGAGGAGCTCGGATTGTTGCTGATGTTTTTGCAGAAGCACTCGACCGTCCCTAGTTACTCAGGGTTGTTGATGGGGTTGACAAAGAAGGTTCTAGAGATGAGGGCAGAAGACATTAGAGCTTCTGATGATTTGAAGGGTCATATTAGAAACCTTAAAAGGTCTGTTGAGGAGGAAATACGAATACAACAATCATTGCAAGAGATACAGGGTATAATTTCTCCTTTGTTGAGGATCACGGGAAGAAGATGAAACTTGATTGCTTTTTTTCAATTTTCATGAGTCAAATTATCTTATGTTTTTTACTTATTACCTGCCTGAGGTTTCTTCTTATCATGGCAAGACAGTATCTGCAATTTTGTTTCTTTGGAATCTACTCTGAATGTTGTTTCTTTTATGGTGTTTAAAGTAATCTCAGTTTTAATGACAAGAAATGTTGACTCATGTTAAGTATACTATTCACATCTCATACTTTGTCTTAAATTTGCTTAGTGAGTTGTTTATCCTTGGGGATATAATCCGCAGTTCATCAGAAGGTTAGGTCAAGTTACGGAACATGACATGAAATGCTGTATTTATATCCTTCGGGATATAATCCGCAGGGATGCGTACATATAACCGTGTTCGTATCTCATCTTGTAGTAGCTACAATGTGATGAGTTATGCATGCTTGTCAATTTTATTGCTTTGATGTTTGTAACCTACTACTACAGGTGACAAAAATTCCTAAGACATTTTCGACCTTGACAAGTTACATGAAAACTTTCATTCCTTCGCTTGTGAATGAAAAGCTTAATTCAATTGGTGAACATGTGGAGTTTTGCATGGTAAATTTGTACACTCACTTACCAACTTCTTGCATTTCACAAGAGGTTGTGGCAGACATGATTGGAGCTTTGGATTTGCTCAATTCTCTTTAATCTTTACTTCGTGAGGTTGGTTTTGCTAATGAAAGGTCACAATTAGTTCTAAAAGATTGTCTTTGTAAACTGAGGTCACTTCATAAATTTTGTGTTCCTAATTTGAAAATTTTGGAGAAAATAAGGAAATTCTGCTTGGCAAATGCTTCCTTAATATTTTGCACCGTGTCAAGCTCTGCTAAATTGCAGACAGAGAAAAAGGCACCCCTGGATTTGTTAGTGATTGATGAAGCTGCTCAGCTTAAAGAATGTGAATCAGCAATTCCTTTGCAACACCCGGGTCTTCGCCATGCTGTTCTCACAGGAGATTAGAGCAACTCCCTGCTATGGTTATAAGCAAGGTTTCATTTTGTCCTTTGTGCTGTATGGTTAAAAAAAGTTTGTAAAGCTTTATGTTTTATGTGAATTTTGAACAATGCACTTTCAGATCTCCAAGAAGGCTGGTTTTGGAAGAAGTTTGTTCGGAAGACTTCTACTGTTGGGACATGAGAGGCACCTTCTCAATGTCCAGTATAGAATGCATCCATCAATCAGCTTATTCCCAAAAATGGAGTTTTACAACAACCGGATATTAGACAGTCCAAATGTCAAGCAAGGAAGCTATGAGAAGTGCTTTCTTTCAGGAAAAATGTACGGATGCTACTCCTTTATAGATGTAGCCAATGGACAAGAGGAATTTGATCGCGGGCATAGTCGGAAAAATATGGTTGAGGTTGCTGTGGTCTGTGAAATTGTTGCAAGCCTTTACAGAGATAATTGTTGCTGTATTCTAGTGTAGATGTTCTTAACTGCTTCAGTTATGCTTGTGATGCTTGGAAGGTTTTTCTGTAACTTTTTTTATGGGCCACAGAATTTATTCGAACAAAAAAGGAGGTTAGCGTTCTGGTAATATCACCTTACAAAGCTCAAGTTAATGTAATTCAAGAGAGAGTAAAAGAATACAGTGGAGTTTCTGGCACTGATGGATTCTCTGTAAGTGTTCAATCTGTTGATGGTTTCCAAGATGGTGAAGATGATGTGATAATTAATATTATCTCCACAGTCAGATGGAATGAGAAAGGATATGTAGGTTTCATTTCCAATCTTCAAAGAGCAAACGTGATGCTAACGCAGTTGTCACATTGCAGTTGTACATGTAGTAGCTTAGGTGTACTGTCTGAATTTTTGGTGCTTCTGATGAAGTTGATTTGTTTCTTTGTGTTTGTAGGCTCTGTCTTTGGATTTTGGGGAACGAAGTGACTTTGATTAGAACTAACTCTGTTTGGAAGAAACTAATTCTTGACGCAAAGAAACGCAAATGTTTTTATAATGCTGATGAGGACAAGAACTTGGCTTAGGCTATTGCAGCTGCCCTCATGGAGCTTGGCCAATTTCATATTCCACTTGATTCCGATTCTCTGTTGTTCAAAAATGACAAATGGAAGGTGTGCTGCTACGTTTCCTTTCCGTTTGAATTATATTGGACTGCTGTTCTGCATGCCTCCAATATATAGTATTCTGTTGCATCTAACGTTATCAATCAAAGCTTGTAGAGTGCACAAATTTCCCTTGAATGGGGGAACGTGCCTCTTTAAAGGCGAATTCGTTCTTTTAGGCCCCGTTTGGTTTACGGAACGAATTTGATGGGAAATCATTTCCCATGTTATTTTCCAATGGATGGGAAATGGTAATTCATTTCCCGTGTTTGTTTTGAGTAGAAATGGAAAACAAATTTTGTTTAGTTTCCTAATTGTACCCCAGTTAAAAATATGAAAAATCTGTTCATTTTGTTAGAAGTATAATACCCACCTCATTTGAAGTTGCTCTGAGGATGAGAATGTGAAAACAGAGTTATGAGAAATACGGGGGAAATAGAACGTTGCTGGGAGGATTTTAAGAAATATGAATTAAAAAAACACAAAATATGTCAACACACCATAACTTGTGAAAACGGTCTGCAGCAGAGCACCACCATCAACAATATATGTTGATCTTAAAGGTTGCGGCCATTTTTAGACGTCATGAAGGTTGCGGCCATTACTTGATGATGATGCAGAAAAAAGATTAGAAATATATGTTGATCTTTGATTACTTGATTTAGCTATTCAATCAAACAATTACTTCGGATTCCAAAGTTAGGAATGTATGAACCAATTATATTATATGGGTGGATGGCAGTGTTGATGTCGTAAGTTATGTAAGTCTACCATCCAAATGGAAGTAACCTAGCCTCGTCTTCACCGCGGCCGATTGCACTCAAGTTCGATCCCCCATCGTACATTTGTACAAAAACATTAAATATAACTTGGATATCATGTGTTATGATTTATGGTTGCATAACAAAAAAGAATTAGATTAGTGTACAAACAAAGCACAAGAAATTAGATATCATAAGAAGAAACTATGATACTTAAAATACTAATTAGCATAAACCATTTGCATTACAAAAAGTTACTGGAAACTTCATTTTTACACTAATTTTCTAAATTTACTTTTCACTCACTGCTACAGTCTCCCATTCTCACCCCCTACCCAGACAAACTCAGAGAAATCGAAGTCGCAACGCCAAGCGCGTAAACTCCAATCGCCGTCCCAATCAACTCCTTCCCGGTGCTCGTCGCGGCCCCAAACCCAGCAATCCCAGCCACCCCAATCGGAACGCGCCACATTACCGCCTTCCTGGCGTTCTCCACCACAGCTCCGGCGAAGAGCTCCACCGCCCACTGCTTGAACTCGGCCGGCCCGATCGTCTGGGCCCGGATCGAGTGATTCACGGCCTCGAGGGCGGAGTCGACCCGGGAGCGAGTCGGGGGAGATGGGACCCATTTGAGGATGAGGGGGTGGGGGTGGACGGTGCGCAGCGTTTCGTGGAGGTGGTTGGAGGCTGTGGGGAGCTGGTAGGGGAAGACGCCTTGGAAAGCGTGCTCGGTGAGCGAGAGGCAGTGAGTGAAGGCCGAGTCGCAAGCTGAGTCGAACGCGGCCGAGTTGGAGAGCGACGACTTCACTCGCTTTGAGCTTGAGATTCCCATCTCTCCTTCTCCTCTGGTTTTATGCGCGCAGCGTTGGGTTTCACGTTTTGAGGCCCCAACGGATAGTGTGCCGGTATTTTATGAGTTTATTTATTTATTTGCTGATATATATATATATATTTTGTGTGTGTTAATCGGCATTTTTCAGTTAAGGTGTTTATTTATTTTGGAAAAAAAAAAGTTCAGGTGTTTATTAATAAAAAAGAATTTCTTGGAAAAGGTCCACATTTTTTCCCTCTTCTTTGTGGGATTTTACACTTTGATTCATATGTTATTGATTTGACGTATGTAGTTTGATATTTATTGCAAATTCATTTCAAGAAATTATAGAATACTACAATGGTATGGTTACGTGGTATATCTTATATACGTGTTATAATATGGGTGAACGACATGGTTTATTTTCCCTTTTTTAAAGAAATTATATTAATAAATATCTACTTATATTATAACACATGTACAAGATGTAACATATGACCGTACTACCTTAATATACTATAATCACTCATTAAATTCACGTCTAAAACTCTGTAGTTCAATATTTTATGAGTTTCTTTATTTATTTGCTAATTTTTTTTTTCTGAATTATAATAATAATAAAAGAAAATTTCTTTGAAAGAGTCACTTTTTGTTTTCTTATTTGTCATTGTTTTAATACAAATGATATTGGGGAGGGGGGAATCAAATCCAAGACTTCAAATGCATGTGTAAATGTTGTTAACCATTTGAGCCACAAGACTTGTAGCTTCTATAAGTTCGATATCCATTGCAATTCAATTCCCATCCAAGATTATGTCTAGAATAAATGTTTACATATCTCATCACATGATTATAAAGGAATTAGAAAGAAATTTGAACTTATCTTTTAAATTGCAATGAATATCAAACACTGAAAACGAAAATTGAAATTAACTTTTTTTTTTAAAGTAAGGCTACTCTTATTATATTTGTATACCACATCTATCACATAAGATGATATGAGAATGTGGTAAGAGTAGCATTACTCATCAATTAACCTTTTTTTTTCTCTTATAATTTATTGACACTTTTTAATTGTGGTATGAAAATATGGTAAGAGTAGCATTATTCTTTATTTTTTTATGGAGGCGAAAAACCAAATTTCTTGGGTTTGGTTGTTAGTCTTGCCCTTTGGAAGTTGGAGAAACACTTGCATTTTGCTATTCTAGCCAATTGAGTTATGACACGTGTGATAACATTTTCACTGCCATATTATTAGCCTGGATAGCAAAGTGGCAACCAAAAAAAAAAAAGGAAAACTAGGTTTTAGACATAGATAACTTTACTTATTAGTATTTAAGACATTTGATATTTTGGTTTGGGTTTTAATTCCTAGAAAAGAATTGTTATTTTGGATTAGGCCAAAGAGGAAGACCAGATTTGTTGACCCACCTTACATTAGTCATTAAAAAGACAATTATACCCTTTTCATTTAAAAACCTAACCCAAATTCGTTAGTTTCTCTCTCTCTCTCTCTCTCTCTCTCTCTCTCCTCCCCTTGTTTCGACCAACACCGACAAAACCCCCCAGCCACTATCACGTCGGCCATCTAGCCACCGGACCGGTCAAGTTTTGATCGGCGTCGCACCCCAAGCCAGCTCCGACCTTCCTCCTAGCTCTGCTGCTACTGTTTTGCCGGAAAACCCCGGTTTTGATCGGATTTTTACTCGGTTTTCCAATCCCTCGATCTCTCTCCTCCGGCCCTCAAATCCTTCGATTGAGGTATGGTTTTCTAGCTATTTTCCACGATCTAGATGTTAGTTGGGTAAGATTTCAGAAATTTTGAGGTTTAATTGGTTAATTTCGGAGTTAGGTTTTGGCCGGTTTTGAAACTCCGATTTCGGCCACTTCCAGTCACTTTTTGGCCCTAGTCCAAGAACAAAAGTGGTTCCAAATCCGGTGTTCTACTTAGGATAGGAGTTTGGGCTTTCAAACAATTTGGTCAAAACTTGGATTTTTACAATTTACCTTCATTTCGGATTTCGATCAAGTTTCCATTGTCTTCTTCATTTTTTTTTTTAAAAATTTTGGTTCATTTGCCTCTGTTTGTTTGCAGTCCTATTGGTTTATTTGCAGTCCTATTTTTTTGGTTTATTTGCCTCTGTTTGTTTGCAGTCCTATTGGTTTATTTGCAGTCCTATTTTTTTGGTTTATTTGCCTTTGTTTGTTTCAGTTTTTCGCAGAAACTACATTTGGAAGTGTATGGCAATGTTACAACTGCTTAAATGTGTTTTGATATTAGTTTTAATAGTTTTAGTACTTTGAACATGACTTTCTTTTGATTGTATTCAAATTTGAGCATATGTTTTGTCATAAACTGCCTCTGTTTGTTTCAGTTTTTTCGTAGAAACTGCAATGCAATTTCTGGTTTGATAAACTACATTTGGAAGTGTATGACAATGTTACAACTGCTTAAATGTGTTTTGATATTAGTTTTAGTAGTTTTAGTACTTTGAACATGGCTTTCTTTTGATTGTATTCAAATTTGAGCATATGTTTTGTCATAAACTGCCTCTATTTGTTTCAGTTTTTTCGCAGAAACTGCATTTGGAAGTGTATGGCAATGTTACAACTGCTTAAAAATTGTTTTCATTTACTTACAATTTTTTTTTTGTAGCTGTTTTCATTTTTGTTTTTGTTTTTGTTTTTAAAACAAAATTGATATCTACATTGTATTTTTGTTGCAGTTTCTGTTTTTATTTTCAATTTTTGTGTCAATAAGTGTTGAAATGATTTTTTTTTTTTTTTTAACCATTGATTGTTTATATAAATATTGTATGACTGAATAAATATTACAAAATCAAGTTTGGTGTAGTGGTTTGTGAGTGAGCCTTCCTCCTTTGAGGGACAAGGTTCAAGTCCATTCAATGACACAAAAATCTTTTTTTTAAAGGTGAATAAAGAGTAACGGAGTTGGTCCCCTGCAGAAGGTGGTAGGCCAGCGACAGTGGTGGTGGCAGGTGGCCGGCCGCAGGATTCCGGCTGTGGTGGCCGGCGGCGGGATTCCGGCAGGATTCCGACAGTGGTGGTGGCAGTTTTGGTTTGATGTCGTTTTTCAGCTTTGGTTTAAAACTAAATATTGAAAATGGCATATGTTGTAATTTTCATATTTTGTAATGGTATTTTTGTTACATTTTGGTTTTTGGCCTTTTGCTAATTAGACTAAATTGTATTTCTTTCAACTAAATTAGTAAACTATATTATGGTTTAAAACTAGGGAGCTTCACTAATATACCCAAAATATGGGTTGAAATTATTAAAAAAACCCCACATGAAATGCACTTTAGAAACACACCCAAAACTCATTTACTATATAAGAAATTGGTGTTTAAGTTCCTATAAATTACATGGCTGCCATTGATCAACTTAAAAAAGAAACCCAACACAAAAAACTTAAATAGCACCCAAAACAAGCCCAGCCCAATTTTATAAAAAAACTCAAACAATTCATTACAAACAAAACGTCTTGAAAACCATAGCTTCATTTACGTGTCATGTTGATTAATGACTATAATGTTCCACACATGATTAATGGCTGTGATGTTCCAGTCTATGGTAATAACACTGCTAGTTTACTGTCATGTTGATTAATGGCTGTAATGTTCCAGTATAGGGTAATAACACTGCTAGTTTCTTATGACATCCTATTTCTAATGCATGTCTACTCCTGTAATGTTCCAGTATATGGTAATAACACTACTAGTTTCCTATGAGATCCTATTTCTAATGCATGTCTACCCATGTAATGTTCCAGTCTAGGGTAATAACACTGTTAGTTTACTGTAATGTTGATTAATGGATGTAATGTTCTAGTCTAGGGTAATAACAATACAAGCTTCCTATGACATTCTATTTCTAATGCATGTCTACCCCTATAATGTTCCAATATAGGGTAATAACACTGCTAGTTTCCTATGACATCCTATTTCTAATGCATATCTACCCATGTAATGTTCCAGTCTAGGGTAATAACACTGCTAGTTTCCTATGACATCCTATTTCTAATGCATATCTACCCTTGTAATGTTCCAGTCTAGGGTAATAACATTGCTAGTTTACTATCATGTTGATTAATGCTTGTCATGTTACTATTTCTAATACATGTCCATCAAAGAAAAGATGAAGAAAGAACAAACCAGACCAACTCAAAACAAGCTGAACTCAGATTTTTAATACTATTATGTCATAGAAGTACATTGTTAATACTCTGTTATAGAAGTACATTGTTAATACTCTGTCATAGAAGTACATAGTTAAACGAAAATGAGATCCATAACTGAAATAGTAACAAAAGATAAATCGATCATCAAAACTTAAAATACATTTCGAAAATCAACTAAAATCTGAAGAGAAACACATAATTGAAGCAAAAGATCAAAAATCTTAAGTCCAAACCAAACGAAGACGACGAAGATGATGATGATGATGATGACAACAACGACGCAAACCAAACGACAACGACGACGACGATGACGATGATAATGACAACGACGACGATGACGACGACGACGTGGCGAAAGAGGAGTAGAGCTCGAAGATGAGGAGTAGAGCTAAGAGCATCTGATCTAGGTTCGTTCGAGGTCTTGAACAATCCCGATAAAAAATATATATCAATAGAAGCACAATTTTAGAACAAGAAATTGAAGGTGAAATATTGAAAATTGTAGATTAAAGATGAAGAATATAGTTGGACCTGAGATTGAGCTTCAATGGAAGCTCCACTTGCTCCAACACCAGAGAAAGCACCAGCGAGAAAGGAGAAAATAAATCTGATTTGGTTTTTTGGCAGATTTGATTTTTTTGCAGATCTGGTTTTTTGGCAGATTTGGTTTTTTTGTTTTTTGACAGATCTGGGCAGATCTGATTTTTCTCTCTCAAATCCATTGTTCAAGGGCAATATAGGTATTTAACACACACAAATAAACTAAAAAGCAGCTATTAAATTGAAAAAATTGACAGCTGTCAATTTTTGGGTTTTTTTGGGTGTGTTTATAGTTTTTAAATAGTATAGGGTTTCTTTATAAGATTATGTCTAAGATTGGGTATATAACTAAATTTCTATTAAAACTAAAGCTCCCAAAAAAAAAACCAAAGTTGCAACCAAGTTTTTCTCTTGGAGTTGGGTGGAAGGTTTCTTAAACCTCAACGACCTCGCTCCAGAGTCTACAGGAATACAACACCTTCCATGGAAGCTCTCATGGGTTCTATCAAATTCCATATTCCTCAACTGGGTTTCAAGCAAAACCACCCAGAACCCCACCTACGCTATCATTTGGCGTTACCTTCTTCTTCTTCAACCCCAAGCCACATCGTCTGTGGCCTCAGAGGGGGACCAAGAAAGCCTTTATGGAGGTCAAGGGTGCTCTCAATTGAAGCCATTCAGGCAGTTCAGTCTCTAAAGCTTTCCAAATCAAACCCATCAAAGCTCGAGCAGGTTATGGGCGGTAGGCTCTCCAGGCTCTTGAAAGCTGACTTGTTAGACGCCTTGGCTGAGTTGCAGAGACAAAATGAAGTGGAATTAGCGCTCAAGGTTAGGGTTCTTCCCTTTGGTCATCATCTCTCTGTGTGTTTTGTCTGTTTTTTTGCGCCATGTTTAGAAAATTTATAAAAGAAAACGTTTGGCCAAATTACCCTTTACAATTTGGTTTGTTATTGTTGTGCATAAACGACTAAACAGGATACCAAATCATCAAGATCAGGTTTGATAATCTTTTTGGCTTTTGGGGTTTGGGAAATAAGTGAGAGGGTATGCTCTCAGCGGCACTAAAAGTAAATTTGAGAAAATTATGACCACAAGTCCAATTATATGGAATTTATGGATTTCTTCACACCAACAAGTGACTTTTTATTCTGAAGTTCAATGAACTTTGGTTTTGTGATCAGATATGAATAACTGAATATTGATTGTTGTGAGTATATCTTTGGATATATTATTCTGTTCTTAAGGATTTGAATTACGTGATGGATAGTTTTGTTGTCAAAGGATGCATCTTTTTCATTCTGCATAGGATCTTCTAAAGAATATCAGAAGTTATTAAGCCATAAGTGCTTTCTAAATGATTCTGAAAGGAAAAGGAAGATGAAATTTTCTTACTTTTTCAAATTTGAATAATGCAATGCTTTTCTGATTACGGTCTGATTATAATTCAAAGTCCTTATTTTACCACTTAATTTGAGATGAGGAGAAAAATGGTTTCTCTCCAGCTTTTTGCGACTTTCACAGCTTCAGATTTTCTTAATGTAACTTATAACAGTCACATAGTTTTTTTTTGCGGCATGAATAAGAAACAAGCCCTTTGCTGCCAATTCTGGCTGCTCATTCAACCAGGTTGGAATGTTTAGTTAGTTTGAACAATGCATGATGTGATTAAATGGTAGTTCTATACAATTAACAATCCTGTAATGGATAGTTTGTAAGTTTCAGAATTTCTGACTCCAGTTATGGAAACTGTAAAACTAAGGGTTTGTTTTGTGATCATTTTGTTTTTAGTTTCCATTTTTTGGCTAGTGATAGAGGGGAAATGTATGGGAGCAATGAGACATGAAGGAGGGTGGTGCGAGGGACGATTGATAAAATAAAGGAGAATGTAGGAAACAAAAACTAGAAAATGAAAACAACTTAAATTTATATATTTTTATTTTTATTTCAGTTTTTAGTTTTTAGTTTTCATCTTATGCACCATTTCACAAGCATTTCTTTCACATCCTCCCACCATCCTCCCACCATCCTTCCTCCATCCTTCTTCATCTCTCCGTTCTCCTATATATTTTCCCTCCATCTCTAACAAAAAATGCAAACTAAAAACGAAATGGTCACAAAGCAAGCTCTAAGCTGTCAACTACTTTAATCATAATGTTTTCTTTGATAATAGTTGAATATTTTTATTTTCAACTTGAGATGTTATATGCTATCTGAACTGGAATCAGGCTTTAGGTCTTCAAATTTGTGCGGGAGGAAGTATGGTATAAGCCAGATCTATCATTATACTGTAGCATGATCCTATTGTTGGGAAAGAACAAACTGATTGAAATGGCTGAAGAGCTTTTCTCTGGATTAAAGGAAGAAGGATTAGAATATGACACAAGGGCTTTTACTGAGATGATTGGAGCTTATATACAAGTGGGTATGACAGAAAAGGCAATGGAAACGTATGAGTTGATGAAGGCATCAGGTTGTGCGCCAGATAAATTAACGTTTACAATATTGATTAGAAACCTTGAGAAGGTTGGAGAAGAAGAATTGGCGGCTCACGTAAAGAAAGATTGTGCTGAATATGTAGATTCTCCTGAGAAATTCTTTGAAGAAGTTGAAAGAAAACATGTAAGTGTTCAAATATTTATGTTCTGACCTTGTCCATAATATATGAATATGTTGTTTTAGGGTTAATGAGATAGAATTGTCAGTTGTTAAGGGTGTCTGCAGTGAATTTATGATAGTTATTTTCTTGTAATCTCCATCTTAAGTAATAAAACTACATGCCTTCATCATCTGGAAATGCAGGTCAGAGGCCAATCAAGTTCATATTTAGTGTTCTGCAGTAAATGTTGTTTTTTAATCACTTTCTATTACCATTTCAACTGTAAATTTTGGGACGCACAGAGGCTGAGTACATCACAGATGAAGTAGGCTATATACCACAATAACATTATATTCCTGGCTTCTAGTATCAATGTATCCAATGTATAAAGTCACTCTAGTTCCTTGCAAAGAATTTTGATTCCTTGGTTCTAAAGAAATCCTAGTACAAGCATGTTATAAAAGGAGATAAAGTAAACAAAGGGATTGGTGCGTACTTGCTTTCCTCACTCATGTGATGTATGTTAGGGAAACCAGTTGTTGTGGATGTCATGTTGGTTAAAAGTAGGGTAAGGCCATCTCTTAGCCCTTTTCAAAGTGGAATGTGAGCAATTTTTAAACTTCATTGGAAGTTGTTAATCTTTTTTTTGGCTGCCTATCATTAGAAACGTATCTATCAATGTTACAAGTAGTTTTATGTTTTCTCATTATAGGAGACGTACTTCTGATCAGTCTGTAAATCCATGGCCATGGAAAAATTCTTCAAATAGAGACCCAATAGAATCTAGCTTTAACTGGATAAATTTGTGCTTCTTACATATTGTTCATTTTAGTATGAAAAATGTGGAAATATTTAAGGGGCATATGACACTTTAAATGCATTTCCTATGAAATTTAGTTCATCCATCTATTTAGAATTTTACATTTTCAGTATCTGACTGCTCCGTTTATTATTAATTTATTACCGCAGAGGACGAGATCACTCAATCTTGTTTGACAATTTCCCGCTCTTGGGACTGCAAATATAGGGTCTGTTGACAGTGTTATTACCAGTACGAAAAGATGATAGACAGAAAGATGGTAGGTCAGTCACTCGCTCGTGTGCGTGTGGACGAATTCCTAGTCGTTGATGCATTTTGGACGACTGACCTTAGTAATGGTCATGTGAGGAACTAGAGAAAATGGTTTAACAAATTGTTTTTTGTAATTTATCATAAAGCAGCATGTTCAGAAGCCTTTTTCGGCCTATTGGGTTCGTATTAGGGAAAATTGATTTATAACCTCCTAGCAGAACAATTTTGTGATTATATATCTTGTTCATTACATATGGTTGTGCAATAAATTCGGATATATGGAAATATTGCATGCTTGTCATCCAAGTAAAGCAAACGAAGACAATTTGGATATATGGCAATATTGCATGCCTTTCCTCTCCTTCCTCTCCCTCTCCTTCTCCCATTCAGTGACAAATTGACTGAACATAACTGGTAATCAGCAAATTAAGTTTTGTTTGTTATATGGAGTCTGAGGTTATAGGCAAGAGGAGGTTTTTATGTTATTATTTTTTATATTCCTTTTTCTTCTTCTCCCTCTCTCTTTTTTTCTTTTTAATGGATTTGTTATTGTATTTTAAAGATTTCAAGAAGGAATTATGAAGGGAGTGCCCATAAGCCCTTAAGATTTTGAGTCTCATAGATCTATGCAGAGAAAAAAGCAAACCCAGCCACTAGTGCCCAGAGTGCACAAGGGATTGTATCAGGATTTGCAGGCAGTTTATTAACATTTATAGAAAGCATTGGATCACAAATTCCCTCAGCTCCATCCAAAGAAAGAAGAGTACATAATAATACATCATTTTTCTTTTTCCTCCACTGATCGAAGCCGAATTCTACAACGAAATGCTTGAAAATACAAATATTACAGACACCTGATACTACATGGGCAAGGCCCTCCACCATAACAGAAACCATTGTAATAAAACCAAATTAAGATCAGAAAAACGGACAACTAAATGAAGAATAAAAAAACAAGCAAACAAACAAATTACAATGCCGCTAATAGATATTACAAATTCCTTTTAGTTGGCTAAATGGCTAGGAGAGCTATTGAACATACTGTGCCACATGAAAGCTCTTGAAAGCACCATCTCTAGCTCTTGGTGAGTCCAGTTATTAGTTGGAAGGTGTTGAAGAAACATAACCAACTCTTGGAAATCAAGCTTCTGAAGCTTATCTGACCACTGAATCAAATAATAGTGCTTTTAAGTTATTGACATCCACTTCATTGAGCAACCAAAAAGAAAAAACAAGCAATTTCAGCTGCCCACGCAATAACAGAAAGGCAGTCATTCCTCATACATAATACACAGAGCCAGAGAATACAGAATTAGCCATTCGGATTCTCTGCAGTCAAATTAACCCAAGCACAACAAATGTAGTATAGAAAGAAATAAGTTGTTGCACCCACCGCATAAGCATAGTATATACGTGCAGAAACAATCTGGGGAGAAGGCAAACATGGGCCAGGAAAATTAGCAGAAAAGCCAATAAAAGGCGAGCTTTCCCTGAGCCTCCCAGTCACCATTAAAAATATGGTAATGCATGAAATTGGTAATTTGGGGGGCCTGACGTTTTTGTTCCATACATAACCATTCCCAGATTCTAAGATATGACAGAAACTTGAAAAATGAAAAAGAAAAAGAAAGAAGCGCACCAAAATGGTCACTTCAATGATAAGCAAGAATGCACCCACTATTTCTGTTAATGGAAAGTAGTGCGCAGTATATTTCTTCAGTTTTGAACAAGTTGGATGCCATGAATGCTATTCAGAAAAATCTTTAAAACAATCTATAAGGTGTCAAAGCATCATAATAGATTTCTTCCATAACCAAAGCTGAGAAAGGTATGTCAAATATATTAGCTTAGACCCCCCCATAATTTACTGAAGGCAAAGAAAACACATTGTTAATGCACAATAAATCAACAGATGCATTTTCTTACCACAGCCAATACATCCAAACATGTAACTAAGAAAATTATATCCTTTCAAAGGCAAGAATTTCTATCTTACCGTTAAAAGAAAACTGGCAAATATATACACAAGGAAGTCTGGCAATGCATCTCCTTCAGCAAGATAAGTATCCCATAGGCGGGTAATAAGATGGAAAGGAATCTGAGCAGGATAAAGAAAACATTGCCATTAGCTTTGCAATAAATGACAACCACAATGTTGTGACCAATTTTCACTTAGAAACATTCTCAGCTACCCAATAACCTTAAAAGTTGGGTGACATTGTCCATAATATATGAATATCGTTAAAACAGGGAAATCTACAGAAATGTATGCAGAAAAGATCTTTAGGATCACACCTCACGTATTAAAAGACAGTTGAACCAGCGGAAAGCAAATTGAAGAAATTCTAGCCCTTGCTCCTCCATGTGTGTAGATACCGGTTCTAGTACAGTAAGAATAAATCGTAAGTATACACATGAAAGATAATTGTAAAACTTTGACAGGTTTCTCTTCTAAATAAGAAATATCCCTAGAAATATACTTTCAAGAATTCACATTTACCGATTAAAGAATCCTCCTTGCTACAAAAAAAAATGTGTACCAAAATTTTATTGCATCAGGTGGAGAATTGGAAAAACAGTAAATGCAAAGAAAACTACCTCAATATCTTTATAACATATAATAGCCAACCCCAAATTTAGCCCGATGCATGCCCCTACCCTCAATGGTGAATAATGTGTTTAAAGGACTGTGGATCAATTTTCTTACAGTATCCTGTAGGCTTTGTGTCTTTTGCTGAAACTGTTTAGGGAAATGAGTAAGCTGGGTTATTCCTATATGCATTCTTTCTCTTCTTTGCAAGAAGGATAAAGTGGCAGAAAGGTTAAAGAAAGCCAAAGTTATGTAGGGTTGCATGGTCCTCACTGTGTTCTGGGTATTTTGGCTGCAGAGGAGCAAAATGATTTTTGAGGTTCTAGCCGTTTCGCTGGCATATAGGCCCAAAGGAGGGTTCGATATTAGCTCTCTTTGTAATCTGTTTCCACAGAAATTAAGGGCTTATCTTTTACAGATATTTGGTTAAAATGGCAAGCATCAGATGTTTAGATTTTGGTTGGGTCTGTTTTAACAATACATAGTTCTTGTAACTTTGTTTTGTTGTTTCTGTGAAGTTTGTTATGTTCACTATTCCATAATTCTATTGTTTATCAGCTATAAAATAGGTACAGTTTTCAAAATAAATAATAATATAGAAGCATACATTTTATAATAATGTTTGCGGATTTAACACAAGTACCGAATTTCCTTTCTTGAATTCCTATATGTTCAGAATGCTCCACTCTTTAGCCAGCTAAATCCTACATATGTGAAGTCATGCCTGCCATACCCATCTCTCGACCACTCTACCACCCTCTAATTACTCTCTATTGACAACATAACCTACACCCCAGCAACACAACCAACTCTTTCTAAAGTACCCTACAGGAATTGGAGCCTTTTGCCTTGGCTCCCTCATTCGCCACTGGTTATTCGTAAGTCCTAATATGCATAAAGAAAAGCAATGAGACTTCCTTATTGAAAACTACGACAGAGGAAAATATTTAATTCTACAAATAATTTAGAGAAATATTCAGCAAAATTAATGAAAATGCATCTTGTAAGTCCATACAAAATTTAAGTAACAGTTCATGCAGAAAAAAAGGTGCAAGAAAGAAAAACTAAAAACAGAGAAATGGGGGTTACCATCAATCCGCCTGACCACTTCCTTTAGCTTAAACACAAGCCTCTGGATTCCCGGCTGGGCAAATGTGTAATGGTCTTGCATACCATCAAGTAACTTTGATAGGCACCAATAGCAATCAGCCTCTATGTTAGATATTTTATCAGGAGACAGATCAGAGATTGACCAACTATCCACACTCCCTTCTAAGTATTCTGATAAGAAAACGACTAGAAAGGGAGTAACAAGGTCATTTATTCCCTGAACATATCCACTTGCAGGATGTCTAATGGCCCTGAAAGACATTAGGAAAAGCAACTTGAAAAGACATCCTTATAATCATAAGAACTACATAATTTGAGAAACAAATAACTCAAAATGGTGGCATCTTGAAACCATGCTCCATATCTCAATCAAATTTTTAAAAGCTAAATTACTGGAACCCGAAAACTGCTCACCCAACCAGTCACGCTAGCATAATAAGTATTGGCATAATCTTGTCACATTGATAAGTAAACATTATAACTCACTCTATCAACATATGGTCCACATCTAAGGAAAAGACTTACCATCCAAAACCGACGGAATAAAACTAGAACCTTAAAACGTCCTGATCATAAGATTCAATTGTAGTGCAGATGTATGCATATATATGTTCAGTTAATTGACATGTTGAGAATCAGGCCCCATGTTTCCCAGCTTTCTAAACGTACAGTGTCAATACAATCAAAGCCGCAACAAAATAGTGTAGAGAATACATTGCAACATAATTACCCAAGTGTTTAATGAACCAAAGGCCTTTGGATGAACACAACAACTAAGACAATTGGACAAAACCATAAAGGACAAAGGTCAAACATATCAAAACTGGTAAATCTGTTGGAGAACTATCAAGGATTTTTTTTTTTTTTTTTGTTGGGTCAGGGGGGTGGGTTGGGGAGGGGTGTGTGTGGGTTGGCAAGCCCTGTTAAGTTAACAAAAAAAAAATTCCACATTAATGCAATATTTCTCTCTTCCTGACATGAACACATAAGGCACCCAAAAAAATAAACAAGGACAGGTATAGTATTTAACCATGTGTAAAGGATGCGCTCCAAGGATTTCTGGACTTGAGCTTGCTGAAAAAAAGATACATCTGGCACAGTTCTTGGGCAATCGACAGCAATCTAAAAAGGATAAAAAAAGTAATTGTCAAAATCACGAAGCACGAATTACACTAAGCAGGTAGGCATTGTGGGTAAAATACCTGGCGAAGCATGTTTATCTCATCATCTGAACGCTCAGTATCTGGAATGTCATAATACTGGGAAACACAGTCAAGATACTCAAGGCGCTTCCTTTTCAGAACTCCCCCCCTTCTATCTGAATTAGGTGGTGCATATCCCTGTTGTCAGTTCATGTTTAATTTCAAACAAGCAACAACGTTTACCAGATAAAATAACATCCCAGGTTATTAAAATGGCTTAATAAACAGAAAAAATAAATAAATAAATAAAAGGTTTCTAGAAAAAGTGAAAAAAAAAAAAAACAGATGCATAAAACCTCAAGTTCAAAGCAT